TGTGTTGGTGGACGAAACGGCGTCGTTTCAGATTCAAAAGCCGTTTCAGCAGCAGATGCAGAAACTCGTTGTTGGTTATGCTCTTACTTCTAAGAAGAAGAAGAGTTTCTTGCAGCCCAAGCTTGAAGTTCTTGCTAGGTAATGATACACAACACAAATGCTTCTTTAGGTTAATCAAGTTTTAAGCTTTTTGTTATCTGATTTATGCATAGTTACCAAAATTGTGTATGGAGCCAATTTGCTTTTGCCTTGAGAAGACTGTTCTTTTGTTGGCGTTTTCAAGAAAACAGACAATTTCTTGTCTACTTTGAAAAAAGGATATATTTTTAGGACTTTGACATTTTCCCACCAGATTTGGTTCTTGTTTCCTTACTCTTGTTTTGGTAGCTTATTTGTTGGTTTGCCTGATTCTCTATTGTTTATAGGACCATTGCCACTTGCTATGTTTTGTCCTTTGCTTAAGAGTATACACTAGTAGTATACTTGTGGTATCAGGAACCTTGTTTCTATGGGAATATTCCTTTGTATAAAATCCTTTTGGATTAGTCTCTATTGAGGTTTGACTTTAAGCTTTAAAAAAAATATAAATACTTGGTGTTTTGCTTGGAAATCTTCTTCAGCCACATGGGTGTTTTGGTTTAAACAATGACTGTTTCTACTTAAACATGTCATGTTCTAGAATCTTACATAAAGGATTTTTATAGTTTAGAGAGAACCTTTCTTAATGAGGTTGTCTTCAGGTTTGACGTTTGGTCTTTGCTTTTCCTTCTTTCTAATCAAACCCATAGCTTTCATTCTTTTTCAAGAAGAAAATGTTAACAGTACTACTTTTGTGTCTGTTGTTAGGAGAAAAGGCATTTGCTTTGTCGCCATTGATTTGAATCGTCCCCTTTCTGAACAAGGACCATTTGATGTCGTTTTGCATAAGGTTCGTGAGAACTAAGAATGCTTTCAATGTGTTTTTAATACTCTGAGTTTTTTGTATCTGTGTTTCTGCTGGAAATCTAATGAATTTATGTGATTGTGTGCTCTTGCAGTTGCTTGGAAAAGAGTGGCAAGAGGTTATTGAGGTTCGGAAAATTGTCTGCCTTTTCTTTATTGTTTCTGGTTTGAGGGCAGTTGTGTTCTTATGTGCACTTAACCCATGAGTGGTATTTGATAGTTTTATAGAGCAATTTTTTATCCATTCATCATGAGTTATTGTCCTCAAATACATTGTCATATTCGACAATCTCATGTTGGTCTCTGTGTTTGCAGGATTACCAGCAAAAACACCCAGAAGTGACTGTGCTTGATCCTCCAGGTGCAATACAGCGCATATATAATCGACAATCAATGCTTCAGGGTATGGCAGATTTGAATCTGTCAGATTGCAGTGGTAACAATCCTCCTAAGTTATTTTGAGATTGAAATTCAGGAACTTTCTTAAGTTTCTTTATAAGTGATTTTTGCATTGGTATATTATTTGTAGGCAGCCTTTCTGTTCCAAAGCAAATGGTTGTCTTGAAAGATTCAGCATCTAGTGCTGATAAAGTTGTTGAAGCTGGTCTTAAATTTCCACTAGGTACTACTGAACATATTCTTGCCATTAAATGTTCTTGTATACTGTATTGCTCGAATTGGTTTTAAACCTCTTTATTTCAACTTTGTTCCAGTTGCAAAGCCACTCTGGATCGATGGAACTGCAAAATCACATCAATTGTACTTAGCTTATGACAGGCGCTCGCTTGCAGAACTTGATCCGCCTTTAGTCCTTCAAGAGTTTGTTAATCATGGTAATTGGTTTAACATTACACTTCAATACGCATTTGTCTTCAAAATATTCAATGCATTTTAACTCAAAATAATTTCTGCCTGAAGGTGGAGTTATGTTTAAGGTTTTTGTGGTTGGAGATATTATAAAAGTTGTGAGACGATTTTCTCTACCGAATGTGAGTAATTGTGAAAAAACCAAAGTCGATGGCGTATTCCAATTCCCACGGGTTTCATCTGCTGCTGCTTCAGCGGATAACGCAGACTTAGACCCTCGTGTTGCTGAGCTACCTCCAAAGCCTTTCCTCGAGGCGCTTGTGAAAGAGCTAAGAACCTTATTGGTATACTAAAAACTTCTGCTTCTTTTCTACACATTTTCCCTTGCAAGTCTGTTTCTTTTTCTTATGTTTTTAATTAGTTGCTGCTTTCTTTTTGATAGGGACTTCGGCTTTTCAACATAGACATGATCAGGGAACATGGAAGCAAAAACGTGTTTTACGTTATTGACATTAATTATTTTCCTGGCAAGTTTTTTTGAAGCTTTTGCGTAGTTTTTGATATGATTTTCTCGGAGAAGCAGAGCAAATGAACATCAAAGTGTCTGTTTTGAATAATGAAAATGTGCAGGTTACGGAAAGATGCCAGATTACGAGCAAGTGTTTGTAGATTTCTTCCAAAATCTAGCTCAAGCCAAACATAAGAAGAGACATTTGTAGATGAGGATTTGGGAAAAGGTATTAGATGTTCTACGGAGGGATGTAAAACGCAATGGGCAAAAAGAATAATATTGACTAATTATGGATTTGTACAGAATTTAGCTTGGAAAAGCTGTATCAGATAACAAGTTTTGACTAGTAATTTTGAAGCTTTTAAATAACAAAATCTTTATTATTGCACATTGGTTCTGTATTAGATGATTTCGGAGGTGATGATGAAGAAATAAGTGTCATTTGGACAAATCGGGTTAGTTACTAACCAGACTAATTTTAATTGGTTTAATTTGAAATCAAAATGGACCGGTTTGATCAATTTATTTCGTCGTCTCTAAAAACGCAATCCCTTAAACCTTTCCTCTCTTCTCGCTACAGTCTCGTCTTCAACAATGTCTCTCTTCCTGCGAACTTTGTCTCTTAGACCTGCATCGTTTTCTTTTTTCCTCTCTGCCACCGCCATATCCGCTTCAAACGCCGCCGTTTTATCCTTTGTACCCAAACGGAGAAATTTGATTCCCGGAACCCGAAGAACTTTCTCTAATTCCCCGGCCGCGACTGCCTCGTCCACCTCCGGCGACGCGGCAGTGAAGTCGATTCCAAATTCTCCGTCGGTTCTCCGGTGGGTGTCGCGCACAGAGCTTTGCGGCGAATTATCAGTCGATGATGTTGGTAAAAGGGTCCACCTTTGCGGATGGGTTGCTCTTCACAGAGTCCATGGAGGTCTCACTTTCCTTAATCTTAGAGATCATACCGGCATTGTCCAGGTCTTCGATTTCTCCTAATGTTTTCCATCTGCATTAAGTTTCTGCTAAAAAATGCACCTTTAACTCAGTATTTGGTATTGAATTTGAGTAAAAGAGACAATTGTAGTGCTTAATTCAATCCATTCCTGGGTTTGACTTGCTTTTAGCTGTGTTAGTTTCTTTCGTTGGAAATGATTATCCTTGATTTTGGACCTATTTCAACTCTTTTTATCCAGTTTGTGAAACCCAAAGATGGATATTTTGTGGAATGTATTCTTCGTTTATGATTGGAAGTTTATAATTTTAGGTTAGGACGCTTCCGAATGAGTTTCCTGAGGCTCATGGCTTGATCAATGACATGAGGCTTGAGTACGTTGTTTCGGTGGAAGGTACTGTTCGTAGTAGGCCAAATGAGTCCATCAACAAGAAAATGAAAACTGGACTCGTGGAGGTATGCTTTATCTTCTCATTTCATCTCAGCTGCATTTGTATGTTTCAATGTTCTCGAAAGTTGATGCGGGGTAGTATGTTGCACTAGGTAGTTGCAGAGCATGTTGAGATATTGAATCCTGTGAGGTCAAAGCTCCCCTTCCTAGTTACTACTTCAGACGAGACAAAAGATTCAATTAAAGAAGAAATTCGCTTAAGGTGAAGTATTAGCTGTACGATCTATCTTTCGTGGTTGGTATTTTTCATTTTCGAATCTCTAAATGGCTTACCTGATGCTTTGCTTTTGTTTGTATGATGTTAGATTTCGTTATCTTGATCTACGCCGTCAGCAAATGAAGAATAATATTGTTCTTCGCCATAATGTGGTGAAGCTGATTAGGAGATATCTTGAAGACAGGCATGGGTTTATTGAGGTGATTCTTCTCTATTTGAAAGAGTCCCTGTAAAGTTTTTTTTGTATATTTTCAGTTTTGGGTCTTACCTAGTTTTTTCATCTTGGTTTGTTGTTTGTGTTAGATTGAAACTCCAATACTCTCCAGATCTACTCCAGAAGGCGCGCGAGATTACCTGGTTCCCTCAAGAATTCAGGTGCATTCACTTCTTTTCAACTTGATTTACTTCCTGTAATAAAATGTAATTCTCCTTAAGAATAAGCTTGCATCATAGTCTATAGGTCTGATTCTATCAAACGTCTCTTTCGAAGTCAGGAACATTCTATGCTTTGCCACAAAGTCCACAGCTCTTCAAACAAATGTTAATGGTCTCCGGTTTTGACAAATATTACCAGATAGCAAGGTATGTGTATATGATCTTTGGCTCTTAAGCTTGGTTCAGAATTAGACTCCCTGACATAAGTGGCTCATCACTTTCATTTACCACAAAAAATACGACTGGTCATGCAAATGATTTCTCTCTCTTGCATTTTATTTCCGTATTATCAGATGTTTTAGAGATGAAGATCTAAGAGCTGATAGGCAGCCTGAATTCACTCAGCTTGATATGGAAATGGCTTTTATGCCTATGGAGGACATGCTGAAGCTGAATGAAGATCTTATCCGTAAGGTTAGGCTTTAATTGAGCTATCTTATGACTTTATCTTCTGTGACTGGGACGCAAGTAGGTTGGTGTTGTCAAGAAATATGTGTATAAATTTGTTGCCTCGTGATGTGTTTCTTGAAATTCCTATATGTTCTGAATTTCTGAACCCCATTTTCTATGTAATGTTAGTGTGATGTTCTTTCAGCAGTTTTAATTGTTTGACCTTCTTGTGCAGGTCTTTTCAGAGATCAAAGGTATCCAGCTACCTGATCCGTTCCCAAGGCTGACGTATGCTGATGCAATGGATCGATATGGCTCAGATAGACCAGATACAAGATTTGATCTTGCGTTGAAAGACGTAATATTATCTGCTTCTTGGTTATTTAGTTAATGTTACAAGAAAATATCTATATATATATATGTGTGTCTTTTTGCCTGCTTTTGTTCTCTGCAAGGGAACACTTGCTTATGCTGGATTTTGTAGATGCTTGAGAACTGTTTCCCAATTTTTTGAACAGAAGCTTAGACATCTATCTTGACGTTTAAATCCCAAGTTTCTGAAACTGCAGGTGTCAAACATTTTCACAAAATCGTCCTTCAGGGTTTTTACGGAGGCCCTTGAAAGTGGTGGAATCATTAAGGTATTATGTGTGCCTTTGGGTGCCAAAAAGTATTCCAACTCAGCCCTCAAAAAAGGAGAAATTTACAGTGAAGCAGTAAAATCCGGAGCAAAGGGTCTACCTTTCCTGAAGGTCTTGGATAATGGTTAGATCAATCATGCTTAATTCTTTTTCTTCTAATAATAGTCATATAGCTCTACTTTGTACATTCAGTGCTAATTAGGTCTAAACTTGTGATGCAGGTGAGGTCGAGGGAATTGCAGCATTAGTTTCTAGTTTAGATTCGGCGGGTAAAAACGAGTTGGCGAGACAATGTGGAGCAGAGCCTGGTGATCTTATTTTATTTGGAGTGGGTTCTGTTACTTCTGTTAATAAAACACTAGACAGGTTAAGACTCTTTGTAGCCCATGACATGGATTTGATTGACCAAGTAAGTTTCTTCATCTGCCAATCATTTATTTTTTCCAGTTGATGACAGTTCATCAGATTTATGTCATTTCTTGCTTATTATATAGTCCAAGCACTCCATTCTATGGGTAACAGATTTCCCAATGTTTGAGTGGAATGAACCAGAGCAGAGGCTTGAGGTACAATTTGATTTCTTGCATGAGATGAGATTAATGGCCAAATATGCTGTGTTCTAAGATGAAATGCCTTTCAGGCATTACATCATCCATTCACAGCTCCTAGGCCTGAAGATATGGATGACTTACCTTCTGCACGAGCTCTCGCCTATGACATGGTCTATAATGGGGTCGAGGTAAACAAAACAGCTTGGCCATTCACTTTTTTCTGGAACAATGATTTGGGTGATCTTTTGATACAATGTCTTGATGTATACCAGATTGGTGGAGGAAGTTTAAGGATATATAAACGGGACGTTCAAGAAAAGGTTTTGGAGATCATTGGCATCTCAGCTGAAGAGGTGAGAATCAATTTCTCTTTATTCATTTTCAATGGATTTACTTTGATATTTACTGATAAGCATTATCTCATGTGTTTTTCTCTACAAACAGGCTGAAGCAAAGTTTGGCTATCTTCTGGAGGCTCTTGACATGGGTGCTCCCCCTCATGGTATGTAAATTTTCTTAGGCTCAATTAAATCTCAGACGTAAAAGGAAAAAAAACATTACATTATCTTTACTGTCCATGTCTGGAGTCTTCACTGTTCAACCTGTCCTTTGATGTGTCGGGATAATGAAACGTTTTCTTTAATCAACCTAGCCTTGAATGAAAAACTGGGGTTAAATTTGTTTGACACTTTGAATTAACTTGATGGTACCCTT